ATATATATATATATATATATATATATATATATATATATATATATATATATATATATATATATATATATATATATATATATATATATTCTAATAATGAACAGGTTGAATTGGTCGCATAAAGACATGTCATGACTGATCATCACGGATGATGCATGATTATGTGTCTTAATGGAAATTAAGGTGCGCTAAGTACCATTTTATGAGGAGAAAATTTCACAGAATTTAGGCCGTGTTTGGTTAAACTTATTTTAAACGGCTAATAGATAAGATGTTTTACTGTTACATCTTATTTTTTAGATTAATTTTAAGAGTATTTGGATAATGAGTTTATTCCCTATTTTTACTCATTATAAGATCTTAAATAAAAAGGTGGGATAAATGTATTTTTTTTTAAAAGATCTTATTTGCTCTCCAACAACTTATTTAAAAAAAAATTAAGATTTTTTTTAAAAAATTACCAAACACTTTGGAAGAGCTTATAAGCTCTAAAACATCTTATAAGCTTACTTTAACATCTTATAAGCTTATCCAAACAGCTTCTTAATCCAAAGTAACATTTAAAAAATAAATGAATTAAAAATAGGAAATCTTATTTCAATTTCAAAATACTATATAAAATTTGTCGGCTTGAATGAGTCCAAGGACAAATGTAGGCGCGACTAATTTTTCTTCATATAAATGCAATTCAACATTATTAGCAATTCAATTATATTTATATTATATGTATGAAAAACGTATTAAAGTAAATTAATTAACCAAAGTAGTTAACAATTGCTGGGAAATATGGACCGAGCTTTAACCAAAGGAGTTGGGCCCTAATAAAATGTTCACAGACCCAATCAATAAACAATTGACCCAGCCACCCTAATATATTTTTAATTGAAACCAATTAAGACCATCTTAATTAGACAATTTGCGTCAGTTATTCTTATTTCTTAATTCATTAAATTAAATACATTTCTGTTTTATTTATTTAAAAAAAGCAAAAAAAAAAAAAAAAAAAAAAAAAGAGTGCTTGCTTGTACATGCATCTGTACTATTGTGCATGCATGCATGTATGGTTTAATTTTGGACAGCAAGTAGATGCAAAATGTGTTTGATGCAAATATAATTAATGAAGCTGGCTGTCTAATTTGGACTTACATTTTACAAATGTATAAATGTATTATCCTGTGGTTGTAATATAAGACAGCCTAAGTAATTGGGACCATCTTGTTCTCAATCCAGTTAGCAAACTGTAAGGTTTATCTTTAATAACATATGCCACACCTAAATACATTTTCCCACCAAATTAATTTAAGGTACCAATGTATCCCACTCCCACATGCTGTAATTGAATCCCTTATATTTCCATCAACAACTCGAACTTCTTGTCTCCACCTTCCTTCACTATAAATCGCACCCCGAATATCGAATCTTTAAAGATTTCAGTTTTCCGCCCCCACTTAACCTAAAATGATCACCGGGAAAAAACTCGCTAATATGGCCAAGAAATGGCGGAAAATTGCCGCCCTCCAAAGCAAGAGAATCCCGTTTCCAAGAAACGGTAGTTTTGCAGTCTACACCGTCGATCAGAGGAGATTTGTGGTTCCATTGGCTTATCTTGAAAATTCAATATTCAGACACCTTTTGAAGATGTCAGAAGAGGAATACGGGCTTCCGAGTGACGGGCCTATAGTATTACCGTGCGATTCACTCTTCATGGACTACGCCATTTGCTTGATCAGACAAGGCCGAGGTCTGGATCATTTCCAAGAAGCTTCTAGAAGCCCATGCTCCTCGTCGTGCTTGTACCAAGGGCAGATGAATCACCAGTTGCTTATACATTGAGCACTGCTATAATAGAATAACACAATAAAATATATAACTAACTAGTCAAAAAAAAAAAGAAAAAACATTTCCAAAGTCTATGAGTGGTGAAGCATATAGTACTGTTAACCCCTGGCTTTGAATCTATATTTGTAATTTGATGAAATTCATACATACAAATAGTAATTGAGTTGCAGAAATGTTTCAATATTTATCGGTGTACTAAATAATATTATTCTGCATGTCTGACTAATTATTTCTTGCATAATATGTACGAAAACTTGTACATCTACTCACAAAACGAAGATAAACGAAATGCGGATACTTAACAAATGTCTCCATTTCAGTTTCTAATGTATTGACAGATGGTTTTGCTGTTCTGTACTCTTTAGTACAGGTCATTCCTTTTCTTTTCTCGGACAAATTCCCCTATAACTGTCTTCCTAAATTGTTCTTTAATCTCAAAGCGTGTGCAGCCTATCTCGTAAAAAGAAAATACGATTAAAATGTTCTATCAATTTACTTTCTGGTAAGATAGTCTTGAGCATGCTTATACATACAACGTTTTAACGTTAGTAACCTTTATGTTGCTAAGTAATTATCAAGATTACTTTAAGAATCGACAGATATGTACGAACGACGGAATAAAAGGTGTAATGATCATCTTTGAGCACTTGGAAATAATAACTCTACCAATCGAGCTCTGGCTGCTTTTCATCCACAAGTTATGCCTTGTTTGGTGATTGGGTCCAACATGCCTCATCTCGCACCTGCCAAATTTCCATTTCTCATTCTATTCGTAAACGAACTTTTACGGAAATTAGGCAAACAATTACTATAATCATCATATAATCTCACTTTTTTGTTCTTGTGGCTCTAAGGAGTTTAATTAGCCCTTCTAGCTTACCGATCATTTTAAGAAAATTGGACCCGATTTGTCATCCACCAACTCAGCACAAGCAAAAAGAAAAGAAAATAAAAAATGAACCACCTCAAAAATCGACACCTCGGCAATTTCAAATTCCCCTGTTTTCTCCCAAACACTCACATGACTTGCAATCCCAAAAACCCTACACTAAAAAAGCAATCTTTAATGCATTGTCTATTCTATCACCTTCCAATATATATATATATATATATATATATATATATATATATATATATATATATATATATATATATATATGTATATATAGATATAAACCGATATCCCATTCACCATTTTCTTCATCACATCAAAACACAAACAACAACAATCAACAACCCTCCAAAACAAAAATTCTTTCAAGAAATATCCAAAATATGATGATGATGGTTAGTGCAAGAAAAATCATGAACATGGCAAGAAAATGGCAGACTGTTGCAGCACTAGGAAGAAAGCGTGTAATGAATGAAATCAGCACCTCCGACGTAGTGGCGGAGAAAGGGCATTTCATCGTGTGCACGGCCGATAGAGTGCGATTCTCATTCCCGATAGCTTATCTCGACAGTATGATTTTCCGGGAGCTGTTGAGAATATCGGAAGAGGAATTTGGACTGATGAGCGACGGACCAATCATATTGGCCTGTGATGCACAGCTGATGGTGTATATCAGCTCTCTGATGGAAAGGAATGCAGCTAAAGAAGTCGAGAAAGCTCTGCTTTTGTCAATGGCTGCTTTTCGATGTTCTTCTTCTTACTACTATTTAGATCACCACCAAACAAGTCAGTATAATCCACTCTGTGGCTGCTGACTTTTTTTTGGTCATACAATTTTGTAAATATACAGTTTTGAATCAAAAAATTAAGTAATTTTTTTATTGAAATAATTACATAATTACATGAAAAGAATTACAAAAGGGTTAATTAACAACACATGCACAGCTTTATTATATTTGTTTCAAGTTATTCATATTCTGTTTTACTACTGATCTTTAGCATAACATTGTTGTTTTATTACATCATCACATCTTTGTAGTCGTTTCAAACTCGCCTCAATAGTTTCATTTTGTCTTCTGTTACTGAGTTTTTATTACTCTTATTCGGCGGTCTTGTTACTAAGTTCTCAAACTGTCCATTTTGTCTTCTGTTTCCGGTGGCTGCAGCATCATATTATTCACACACAATCAACGATAAAGTACAGCACTAATCACACCATTAGAAAACTACATGTTATTTCATAATCCAACGACTCACGAAAAGACACGTACGACAATGAAACCATAAATCTCAAGAAATCCTAGTTAATAAGACAAATTCATAGTTTTCATAAAAAATATCCCTGTCAGAAAATTTGCCTCTTGGCATTACCTCCTTAAACTTTACCGATCAATGAAACCACAAAAAGTCCTATAAATTGTAATCAATTATTTCATGAAACCTGAAAATCAATAAAAACAGCTACAAACCAACATCATGGCTACAAAACACATTCCTTCAATTATTTCCCTACTAATTATATTTGCCAATTTCATCCCTCATACAGCTGCTAATAATAATAATACACCTAAACTCGTATTCATTCTCGGCGATTCCACAGCAGATGTTGGCACTAATAATCATTTAAACCTAAGCAAAGCAATAGCCAATTTTCCACATAACGGAATCGATTTCCCCAACTCTCAGCCGACTGGGAGGTTCAGTAATGGCTTCAACAGTGCTGATTCTCTTGGTAATTAATTACTACTCTAATCACTCTTGATTACTTCTTAACCATGTCTTTTTTTTTTAATGCTCAAATGATAATTTGTCAGCCAAACTTTTCGGGCTAGAAAAAAGCCCACCTCCGTTTCTGTACCTGCTGACACTCGGATCCCGTTTCCAAGATAATCTCTACAGAGGTGTTAATTTCGCCTCAGGTGGCGCTGGCCTTCTAGATATAACTGGCAAAAACTTAGTAAGGACCTCTTTATAATGCCGAATCATACATACATAAATATTTCATTACATGACTTGTCCATTTGTATTGTATTTGCTGAACAGACAGTTGTGCCGTTATCAGAGCAGATCGCTCAGTTCCGATCAGTTCGTAATAACTTCACAGCCATGATAGGTCCATCTGCAACACGAAAACTCCTCTGCAAGTCTTTATTCTTCATCAGCATCGGAAGTAACGACATACTCGATTATTTTTCAACAAAAAATCGAATGCCTCAAGACGAGTATATTTCCATTCTCTTATCAACATATTCCAAGCACATTACAGTAAGGGCTATCCTTTCTTTTTTTTACGAATTTAACTTTCAATAAAACCGAGATAGATAATCAGTTACATACCTTTTCATGTTGGCGGTTATATCAGACACTGTACAGACTTGGAGCAAGAAAATTTGGAATCATAAGCGTGCCACCTGTCGGTTGCTGTCCACGTCAGCGACTTGTCCAAAAGGTCGTTAACGGTAAAGAAGGCTGCTTCAATCCCATGAATGATTTTGCTCTGGCTTTCCACTCAGCACTCAACACCCTCTTATCTCAAATCGACTCACACCTTCCCGAAATAATCTACTCCCTCGGAAATACATACAAAATGACATTCGATGTCATAAAAAACCCAAAATTCTTCCGTAAGAAAATAAATTCAACATTATAATTGAATTATATGTTCAAACAAAAAAAAAAAAATACCGAAGGACTAAAATTTTACCCATCTTCTTGTTTTGTCTGAATTGTCTTAGAATTCGAGAAGGTGGATTCAGCATGCTGTGGATTTGGATACTTAAACGCTGCGGGCCCTTGTAATAAAACAGCAACACTTTGTCCTAAACGGGACAAGTATTTATTCTGGGACATGTTCCATCCAACACAGAAAGCCTCCGAATTAGCAGCTCTAACACTCTACACCGGTCCTCTATATTACGTTTCACCGATTAATTTTTCGCAACTCGCAAAGGACAACTAGCAATCTGGCGATGAAACAACTCTGCTTTTACTACTTTAGCATTGTATCGAAAAATAAGCGAAACTCTAGCAAGATTCATAATTATCTACAGAGATGAGAATAGTGGATAAGTTGCTGTGTTTTTATATTCCTGCAAATGCAATAATAATCTTTCGAGTTTCTTTAAATCATTCTCACGTGTCGTTAATCGGTTTCTATCAAGAACAGATAAAGCAATACAGAACTAAGTTCAGACAACCTCAGTAATCTTAGTTTATTCATACATGAAAAAAGTAAAATCTTTACAACATAACACATTTTGTTTAAAGTGTGATTATCAAACATGATTATTAACAACAAGTACAAACATAAATTAAAACTCTTTATTGTTTATCTCTCTAAACAATCTCACTGCGTGAGTATCGAATGACGTGCCTTCTCAGCCAAAGCTGATACATCACCATATGAAACGCATCAAACGGCTGAGCTTCATCGTTCCACACCAAATGCTTACTTGCCGCCACACCCAATTCCTTCATCTCACCGTACTTCTCCTCACTCAGCCCATTCAACACCTGCTTCAGCCGCGCGGCGGCGCCGCCGTGAGGAGGGGTGGCAACCAGCAAAGCTAGGTCAGACCATCTCAAAATATCCATCAACGGCAAGTCCTGGATCGGACGGTCGACAATCACCACCGGCACGCAGCCCCACGCCATCGCCTCCACCATCGAAGCCACGTCGCCATGGTAAAGAAACAAACAGAACTTACTCTCTGTAAAACCCCGTATGTGATTCAACGGCGGCGGCGGCTCCGATTTTTCCTCGATGAAGAAATCGGCGTCCGATTTCAACTCGTTGACCAATTGTGACTCCGTCTCCCCGTCCCATCTCAGGTAACCCAGAAACGAAGTCGCCGTTGACTTTTCCACCGGCGCGTGGAGAAGCGTGAGAGTGGATGTGCTGAGGGGAGGTAAGGTGACGTCTTTATGCGGGATGAAATAACCGGAGACAACGGGGAAAACGGAAATCTGAACGGAATTTTTCTTGAGTTCGAGAACATTCCTGTCGGAGGAAAAGTCAATACCGGCGGGGGAGAGAAAGAAATGATCGGCGCCGAGGCTGCGATTCCAGTAGGGGAGGTCATTTCTGAGTTCTCGAACAACGCGCGATAAAGAGCGCGTGGAGGTGTCAGGGGAAAAGGGGACGAAGAAGAGGTGGGCTTCGGTGGGGTCGTGGGTGAGAAATGGGCTGCGGCGGAGGGAGGTGTAGAAGAGAGAAGCGGTGGCTGCGTTGGGAAAATCAAAGGGTTTAGAAGGGGTGTAAATGAAAATCTTGAAAGTCGTGAGCATGGTGTGGTAGTTCTGGAAAAGTGTGGCGGCGGAGTGGTAAGGTGACGATGAGGCGGCGGAGAGAGATGGGAGGAGGACGAAGAAGATGGAGAATACAGCGGTGGTCGTTGCCGCCATAGGTGGTGGTGGTGGGTGGTTGGTCAATCAAAGAATTTTCTTTTCTTTTTTTTTTTTTCTTTTTTCTTTTTTTCCTTTTCTGGGTTTTATAAAAAAGTGTGTGACTTGGCAATAATAATAACTTTTAGTTAGTTGCAACAATAATTCAAACTTCTGTCACTTTCTTACTCCACTATTTAATCATAGCATCACTACTTGGCACAAGATATCTCACAAACCAAACACAGCACAACTAAAAATAAAAAAAAAAGATGAATACATTTCGGCCTCGTTTGGTTGGGGTGATTAGCCATGATTAACTAAATAGTTGGACTTTGTTTGATGTTTGGTATCCCCAATAACTTACCGGGTCGACCCGCAAATATTATGTTATCATGGCTTATCTTGCCTTTTAAGCATGTTTTTTGTTGGACCTTCCAAGGTCCAATAAAACAATTGAGTTTCATTAGATTATTTAGTCTTATCTTAGCTAATCTTATCTTGCCAACCAAACGGGGCCTTCATGGATAAGCCTGGATAACAGAAACAATGGAGGAGTGAATATGTTTGACAGTGAAGCTGCTAAAACCAGCAGATTTCACCACATACTCCCATTCTTCAATACTCCTCTCTTTCCCTTTCTCCGTGTGTGCCAACATCACCATATCCAACGCCAACCGAACATCGTTATACTTATCGACCTCGTCCTTTTCTCCAATCACCGCCTCTGCTATTATCACTTTCCCCCATCCCTCCGGGATTGCTTCTCGGCATTTCCTCAGTATTACGATGCACTCCTCATCGCTCCAATCATGCAACACCCACTACAGGTACCACATATATAGATAGATAAGGAGTTCTTTTAGCATTTCGATATCATACAGTATACTAATTAAATGCAACAAACTCCAAAAAAAGAAAAGAAAAGAAAACATATATACCATGAGAAAAGCAGCATCAGCCTTTGGAACAACCTCAAACATATCCCCACCAACATTCTCAACACCATCAAACTCCGGTGCAACCGAAACAACATGAGGGAGATCAAAGTTAATCCCATGACTAATCGACGGACACGATTTCATCAAAGTCCGAAGAGCCGTTCCATCACCTCCACCAACATCCACCAAACAACCAACACCCTCAAACGCCTCTGGACAACGATCAACAATCGCTGACATGGCAATCCTAGCATGTGAAGCCATCGCACCGTTGATCAGACTGTTGTGGCCAGGATTCGAAGACGCATAAGCCCACACGTCTTTTCCGTGCGCTGCCTCGAACGGAGAGTTATAATCTCCGTTTCCTGAAACGCGCGAGCTGAGTTTGAGCCAAGGAGAGAGCATCACATGGCTGCTTTCTATTGGCAGAACCCCAACTGTGGCAACAACTGTGCCAACAGTTCGTGATTTGGAGGACTCTTGGAGTGATAAGGTGTCTCACAATATCTGGAGAGATAAGGATGAAGATTCCTACAAATCATGTAAATCTTGACCGAGAAATCCCAAGTGATTTGGAGTCCTGTAGCAACGAGTTCAACCCCAACATGGTAGTTCAATAAGATAGAGTTTATCTAGGATTTGGAGTAATCTTATGTAATTTACGATACAAACTCTTCTCCTTTAAATAGAGATGTATCGTCTCATTCTCAACATATGAAAAACACAATCTTGTGCTCACGTTTAATTCAATAAAATAGTTTCTCTCCTCGTTTTTATCTTGGTATCAGAGCCAGAGTGAGCACACACACATACACACACAAAAAAAAAAAAAAAAAAAAGGGAAAAGATTTCGGCAATTCACAGTAGCAGTCCATCTTCTGCTATCATGAATTCTTTATCCCTCAATGTTGGAAATTTCATTACTCTTAAACTCAGCCCCACCAACTATCCGCTATGGCGCGAACAAGCCCTGTCTCTTGCAGAAAGCCAAGACCTACTTGGTCATCTTACCAACGACGATCCAGCTCCACCCCAATACACTACACCGGAACCTCCCACCGCTGCTAGTTCAGCAACTACTGCACCAAAACTATCCGACGCCTACGTCACATGGCGAAAGGCCGATCGTCTTCTCCGAGGATGGATCATCGGTACGCTCTCTGAAGAAGCACTTGGTCTCGTTATTGGCCTTGATACATCAAATTCGGTTTGGGAAGCATTAAAGAATGCCTACGCCGAAGATTCACAGGAACGTGAATTCACATTGCGACAACAAATCACGTACCTCCGTAAGGACGACGACAAAACAATTGGAGAGCACATTCGAACCTTCAAAGGCCTATGTGATAGCCTCGCTGCAATTGGCAAGGCCATTCCAGACAAGGAAAAAGTGTTTTGTCTTCTCACCAGCCTCGGTTCTCAATACGAGACTTTCACAACTACCATGCTCAAACCACCGAGGCCAACATACTCTGAGCTAGTCTCACAACTTCAAAGTTTCGATCAGCGACGTAGTTGGTTTTTCCAACCAGACAAATACTACGCCGTTCGCTTTCCAAATGGCATTCTATAGCCAACAACAGCGCATGTCTCATCAATCGTCCTCAGGATTTCAAAATCAGAAACCAAAGTTTAGTTCAAATGGAAGAGGATTTCAAGCACAACAACCCAGAGATCGGAATCGCAACTACTCCGGCCATACCTCGAATACTCAACAAAAGCGGCCTCCGCCACCTGGACAACGCCGTATGACGCCTGCTGAGAGAGATCGATATCGAGATGACAAATGTCAATATTGTGACGGGGTCGGACATATTGATAAAATATGTTGGTGGGTGCCACAAAAACCAACTCAACATGCAGATATACCCCATGCACTTGCAGCACTCACCCTCGACAACACCGTCACGGACACTGAATGGACTTCGGATACAGGCGCATCGAATCACATGACAGGTAAATCAGGTATGATCTCTAATATTCGACAATACTCTGGTGCTGACTCGGTTCTCATCGGTGATGGGTCTTCCCTACCAATTATTGGTGTTGGAGACTCAAGCATTAAGCAAGAGCGTACAATTTTACCACTTAAAAATGTTCTGTTAGTTCCTCACTTACAGAAAAATTTACTTTCTGTCAGTCAGTTAACGTCGCAATATCCGATTAATTTTGAGTTTACTAACAAAGATTTTTGTGTTAAGGACCGACAATCAGGGCAAGCGATGATCACAGGGACGCGCAAGGGTGATCTTTATGTCATTCGTAGCTCTCCAGAACTTCATTTCTCTCATCGTTTCAAATCCGGTTCAACGGAAATTTGGCATCAACGATTAGGACATCCTCAATTTTCGAGTTTACAATATTTGAAAAATAAAGGTTTCATTGATGTAATTGGCAGCACTAAACCTAAGCATATCTGTGATAGTTGTCAATTAGGAAAACTAAGTAAATTTCCTTTTTCTAGTTCTCAGCATTCAAGTTCGTCTAGTTTTGAAAAAATTCATTGCGATTTATGGGGACCTGCTCCTATTTTATCCATTGGCAAATTTAAATATTATGCTTGCTTAGTCGATGATTATTCCAAATATACTTGGCTTATTCCCTTGCAATTTAAATCTGATTTTGTTGATGCATTTCTTGTTTTTGAACAATATGTCTATCGTCAGTTTAATAAAAAAATCAAGGTTTTTCACTCCGACGGTGGAGGCGAATTTATCAACACAAGGTTATCTACCCACTTTCTCTCCACTGGAATAATCCATCAGGTATCATGTCCATATACTCCAGAACAAACAGGTATGGTTGAACGTCGTCATAGAATTATAAGAGAACTTGGGATGACCATGTTGTTTCATAGTGGTACCCCTCTTTTTTTATGGGTCGAGGCCTTTGCTACGGTTGTTTATCTAATTAATCGCCTACCTACGTCTTCCCTTAACAATGAAACACCATACTTTCAATTGCATAATACCCACCCTGACTACACCTCCCTTCGTGTTTTTGGCTCTAAATGTTTTCCTTACACTTGGGATACGCGAAAAAGTAAATTTGATGCGAAAACAATCCCTTGCATTTTTGTTGGTTACAGCGATAAATACAAAGGCTACAAATGTTTTCATCCTCCTAGTCGCAAATTTCTTATTTCTCGTCATGTTGTGTTCGATGAATTATTTTTTCCTTACAAAGATACCTCAAAATCTGCACCACCTCCACCGCATACTGTTAGTATTTTTGATTCATGGCTATCTGACTCTAAGATTTCTTCTGCTTCATCTAGTGCAGGAACCCACACTGTTGGAACAGTTGCTGTCGGATCCGTTGCACCAACTGTCGCAACAGTTGTACCAACTGTGGCAACAACTGTGCCAACTGTCGAAACAGTTGCACCAACAGACTCGCCGCCGTGCTCCAGCTCTCTCCCCACAGTACCACTGCCACTTTCACTCGGCAACCCTCCAGCAGTGCTAGAAACTCCACTTCATCCTCCACTTGATGAGGTCATATTGCCGCCACCACCTGAACACGAACCCGAGCAGAACCTAGCACCTGAACCAGCACTCCCACCCATACGAACCATTATCACCCGATCACAAAGTGGAATCCTAAAACCCAATCCAAAATATGCCCTTCTGTCTTCCGTTCTCTCCGTTAATATCCCCCGAGAACCTCGTAATATACGTTCTGTTTGGATGTAGCAAATTTGCGATGATTCTTGGTTTTGCTTGAAAAAGCCACGGTGGATCAAATACCTCATTATGCGGTGGAGGATGGAAGGGGAGCAGTTGAGAGCGGTTGATAGGTCGGTATGAGTCATTGATCCGCCATTGATTTCCAAAATATCGGCTATTTTGAGTTCGACTGCACATTTGACTACCGCCATTGGAGTGAATCCAAACACGTACTCCCATATATCCACTTGTGCCTGTGCTTCTTCTTCTTCTTCATTGATTTTTTGAATTGATTTTGCTTCCATTTTTATTAATTCTTGATATATGGATAAAAAAACTAAGAAGTCTATATAGACTTGCTCCACTGGACTCAAACTTATAGGAAACAAAGAATAATTGAATATATAATTAGGTGAAGGAAGATTCTGTGATGATATGGATGAATGAGTAAGAGTAAATTAATGTCACCAACTAATTTGTATTTATATATATATATGTATTGTATCTGAAATTAATTTAATTCATTGCATGATGGCAACTAACACGTTAATCTCATTATATTGCTAAGTAGCATGATGTTTTAATATGCATGTGTTTCTTAATTGTGCAACCATACCATTAATTAATTGTAGATAATTATTCCCTCATGCATGTATGTATAATTAATCAATCAGAGACAAACAAGCACACAAGGTCAGTACATACAGAATGCACCAGCCTGCCTAAACCTAATCTCCCACTCATATCATTTTTGGTGAGTCGAACATGACAACCGAAAGTGCTGATGCACAAAGAGACAATTAGCTAGTTGGAAGCCCATATAAGAAATATTCAGTGGTTTTAATATTGGGCAGCCCAATATGAAAATATTGACTACGAGAACTGGGGTTTACTCGTGCCCACCACAATTTCTGTAATATGTCTAATTGGACCACCCAATAAGCATACAATTTCTTTATCTACTGGGCCACGAGCTCAATATTTCAAAAGTCCAATCACCTTCAAATAAGGTTTGAGGGTTTCCGCCGGATCAACCCGATCTAGAGTACGTGTTCTCTGTTCGCAGGTATCTCAGGACCATCTAACTCGTGAGCTATTGATCCACTTTGCTCTCCTAGTTCATCATATCTCAATTTTTCTGAGGTGATATATTTCTAGCATCATCAACCTCTAATTAGGTTTTAAACCTACAATTCTCACTTTAATTCTTTCTTCATTAGCTATAAAATTATATTTAATCATACACATTCATACTAATTGCTAATTCTTAATATGAAATGTTATTTGCGGTCACAAAATTGCTATACGCGGTTTATAACAAAACCCCCCAAAACTTTTATAAATATCTAAAAACCCCCCAAAACTGCAAATAGCAAAAAAAAAACAAAAATTCAAAAATTCGAAATCAAGCTTGAAGAAGGGTTGGGCTTCGTTTTCTTGATGTAATTTTGACTATTTTATGTGTAATATGCAATGGATAGGTCGATTACGCACGGAACCAATTTCATGTTAAAAAGCCCTACAAATTGATTTGTAGGGCTTTTTTTTTCGCAAAAAAATGTTCGAACACCCAAGATGGGGGCGTTCGTACACTCCTTGGGCGCCCATCTTGGTTGTTCAAACATTTAAAGGAAAAAAAAAAATTGCACTGGACGTCCAACTCGGGCGCCCAAATGCAGCTTGCACGCCCATCTTGGGCGTGCACTGCATGAATGAGCATTCAAATTGGACTTTTACACGTTTTGGGGGGGTTTTTAGATTTTTTTGAAAATTTTTAGGATTTTAATGAAATAAAGTGTTTTTTTGGGAGTTTTGTTATAAATTGCAAATAGCAATTTTCAAACCGCAAATCGCAATTCCCTTGATAATTGCCTACAAAAATATAAAATAATTATCCCACTGTTTGTGGGTAAATAACCAATCATCAATCGCCACGTAGCCACACGCATATGCATAAATAAAAAATTGATTCTTTATTTCTCCGCTTTCGTCAACCCACCCACCTCATCCCTTTGCCCATCACCACCATCATTTCTGCTCTTCTCACTCTAAAAACTCTTAACTAAACCCCCATCTTCTTCGATTACAACGCTACAGAAAATAAAATTTACTGGTAGAAAACGAACCAGAAAACCTTGAATTTCCCAGCTATGGTTTTCTCAACAGTAATTACTTCCTCCTCCTATATTTGCTTACCCAAAGCCACCCGCCCTATCACTCGACGCTCAATCCGGTGCTCCGCCGCTTCTGTTTCGTCTAAATTTGATCTCAAAACTTATTGGACGACTCTAATTAGAGAAATCGATCAGAAACTCGACGAGGCGATAACGGTGCAGTACCCCCAGCAGATCTATGAAGCCATGCGCTATTCAGTTCTCGCCAAAGGCGCTAAGAGAGCCCCGCCTGTCATGTGCGTCGCCGCCTGTGAGCTCTTTGGCGGCCACCGCCTCGCCGCCTACCCCACCGCCTGCGCTCTTGAAATGGTTCGCTTTCCATCCTTTTTAAGTTTTCTGGATTTTTTATCTTCTCAATCTCGAAGCCACATTGAATTAATCGTCTGTCTTGTTACTAACGTTAGTACTAAATCTTAATAATTTTGCTTTTGGTAACCTTGATTTTGCAGAAATTTTAGATTATATTTATGCTGTTTGAAAGAATCTCAACATTGCTCAAGTATTAGTATATAATTTTGAATTAGGCTTGACCAGAGTACAGAATTCTATTCAGATGAATTGCTGTTGATATCAATATATCTATCTGCTCATTGACTTAAATCACCTATTAGGATTGCTTGCTACACAACTTGTGTAGGCATGGTTATTGCCTAATTGCCATTGTTAAATCGGATGCTTCCCTTTGACTTATGTGGTTTAGTCTCTAGATTTCAAATGTAGCAGTAAACTAGTCTTGAGCCGCACAAATTTAAAGCAAATACACATTTGTATAGACAAGGGGGAAGGCGTGCTTGATGGGGAGGATTTGAATTATTACATAAACATCAATTGGGACCGAATGTTTTTTTATATGATGGAATTTTTCCAGTTTTAGTTGAGATTCTTATATTCAATTCAAGTGTTCTCCGAATCAGTTTTAGAAAAACTAGTCCATCTTTTAGAGATTTTTAGACTCGTGAACTGATCTTGTATACGTTTGTCTTCTATCAGTAACTTTGGAAAAAAAACAAGTATTCACTTTAATGATACAAAATATTCGAACAATACCTCCACTGACAAGAAGTTCATACATTACAGTGAAGAAGCGAGATCTCATACAAACCAAACATGGGATTTCTCTGAACTAGAAACATTTGCATCTGTAAATCATGTGAATGACAGACTACATAAAGTCTATCATGTTTTGCACTTTTGTCAATTTCGACTTTCATGTCTGAAATCTTGTCGTTTGTTTACACGTAGTCACATTTTCAGAAACTCCAACTTTTTCATATTCTTTATAATCATTGTTTCCCTTTAAATAGGTCCACGCGGCTTCACTAATCCACGACGATTTACCATGCATGGACGACGACCCTTCTAGAAGGGGCCAGCCCTCAAACCACACGAAATTCGGTGTTGACATGGCAATCTTAGCCGGAGACGCACTATTTCCACTAGGGTTCCGCCACATAGTCTCCCACACCCCAACAAATCTCGTCCCAGAAACCCAACTCCTCCGCGTTGTGGCGGAGATCGCACGGGCAGTGGGGTCCACCGGCATGGCGGCCGGCCAGTTCCTCGACCTGGAGGGTGGGCCCAATGGGGTCGATTTCGTCCAAGAAAAAAAGTTTGGAGAAATGGGGCAATGCTCTGCTGTATGTGGGGCCCTACTTGCAGGTGCATCAGATGATGAGATCGAACGGCTGAGAAAATACGGGCGGGCAGTGGGTATTTTGTATCAAGTGGTGGATGATATTTTGGAAGCGAAATTGGAGACGGAGGAAAAAGAGGGAGAAAATAAAAAGGGTAAAAAAAGTTACGTATCGATTTATGGAGTGGAGAAAGCAATGGAAGTGGCTGAGGAATTGAGAGCGGAGGCTAAGAAAGAGCTGGATTGCTTGGAGAAATACGGTGAGAAGGTTTTACCGTTGTACAGCTTTGTTGATTATGCTGCTGATAGAGGTTTTAGCTTTAAATGATGGTTTTGGTTACACCTATTAATTATAGAGCAAGTACTATATATTGATGTCTGTAGTAAAAATAAAAGTAAGTAAAACATGTTTGTATTGTTGTACTTTTTATATGCACACACACTGATTTAAGCATGAAATGAAACCATGAAGAAAGGTTTAATAGAGCAGCCTGACTTGCAACTCTTTTCTGGAGTTGTCTCTGTGTTATTGTTATTATTACTAGTAACCATACCCGTGCGTTGCACGGGTGGCATTGCAAAATGGAAGAAAATAATTATTTAAATACATGACAATAAAAATTATAATAAAAAAGTTATTGATTAATATTAAAATATTTAGTTGTAAAATTCAAACTATTATGTTACCTTATTTCACTTATTCCATAAAGAAATAAAACATTTAACAAAGCACAAACTAATAATCGCGAAATAAATGTACAACAACGTTATCAAAAAATAAATTGAAAATATTAGAGATTGAAAGAAGAGTATTGTACATCTGTCAATACAATAATAATTTATAGTATCAACATATATTATGTTGCATAGCAGACAATAATAGATCTCAAATAAGCAACAAACATTATGAAACGAACACAAAAATAAAGATAAAATAAAATAGTCAAGATGAAGCAGCAAAATAGGAGAATATATAAGAAGAAGAATAAGACAATTACATGCTACAATAATACGGCAGCTAAACCTCCGCTAAGTTGCTATTCTAAGGATGTAAGACGAAAATATACATTACAATATCAACAAAAAAACCATTGAATTGAATGAATTTATAACAAACTGTACTTCTTTTATTCAAATATCCGATAAATCTACACACAATAATACTTCAAATAAAAAAACAAAAGTGAGGATTACAATATTTTTTCAGGGGTGGTGAAACCCTAAAAAAAGACTCAAATGATGATCCCAAAACACTTTTCAATAATCGTAGAAGGTTGAAGGGTAGTCAATCATGTATATAAACACAATGAACAAAAGAAGAACGACACAACTTCGAAAGATTTGGCCGGTAGGGAGATGTATTTCATTATCCACAACTTCTGTACAAATATGCACATTTTGATATGCAATTCTAATCAAATTGAAAAAAATCAAAAAGAAAAGAAAAAGAAAAACATAAAACAAAACAAATAGGCAAACTTCATCAAATCCATTATATTTCAAATATTTTCCTTCCATTGTCTTTGAAAAATTTAATCTTAGAGAATTCATATAGATAATTTGAAAACTGAAAGTAAGACATAAATGTTACCTTTGAAAAGTTATTTCATGAGCATCAAGTATGGATATTAGAGTATGCAAGAAACAAAAATCCAATAGTAGTAAACAACTATTTGCATGATGTAACGACGTTACTGCTGGTATTTCACCAAACAATATTCACGTTCTAAGAAGAACTATAGCAAAATAATGGGCATAAATTAGATTTATCGCAAAAGAAGATTAATACCGTAGTGGGATTCTCAACTTCAGTTTCTTCTGCTAATACGACGAACATGTTATGTGATATTCCGAACCACGAAAATAAAAGTATCACAATCAACTCCACCAAACAAAAGATTACATTAAACCACACAAGCAAATAGAATTTTGTTGTAGTGGTTTCACTCTTTATGCACAATGTCTCAGTCGTAAACTATATATAGTTAAGCATAACAATGTGGTTCCATTCAGGCTGCAACTTCTTCTCGAGTTTCAAGTTTTTTAGTTCCATCTCGTCGAGATTTTTCTACTCAATTTTCATCTTCTCTTCACACTGGTGGAAAGAGTGATTGATGAGTTTGATTAGTTCTCGAATGGATAACTCTTGAGCAGTTGCAAAAATCCCGTGCATTTCAGTTGAAATACAGAGATTTGATTGTTCAAAATAAAAATAATATTAATGACGAAGACTACCAAACATACAATCTATACATCCACTTTTACACCTTATTTTAATTTTGAAAACAATGGTCCTTCAACAAAATTCTAACATAATAATTGAAAATTGGAATATGATAAATGAAAATCACTTTACCCAAAATTAAATTTCTTCGAAGATCAAGGCTTCCATAGCCCATCACCTGCGGTTGTACATCAACACCGATACTAAAGGTGTTCGATAAATCATGGCATCAAACACTTGTAATCAAAATAACCCATGTCATATAGTTAATGGTCGACATTCAACGTAAAACTTAATCTTAAAAAAAATCTTGGAATAAAATCTACTATTAACGAAACATGTATTCATACGATTGATAACTTAAATAATGATAATTAACTTAAAAATATATAACCTTAGGATTAAAATACCTTCTCCTCGTATATTAAAGTTTTTTGCTAGAACTTCGGGGGTATTGCTGAAAAAATAACAGCAAACATTGAAGATAAATTCTGTAAAAAAATAATTGCTATGGAATTTAAAATTATTTGGAAAATATATATATATGGATAAACATTTTCTCGACATTAACACGAATGAGATATATAACTGAAATGGCGCACTCATTTTCAAGTTTAGTTTAAACACATTGGTCATTGCTGATTGTAAACTGCATCGCAATATGAAGAAGAAGAAAATGAATTTATCCACTACGAATAGCAAACACCCCCTAATCTTGATGTATATATAACGCCATGACGAAAATCAGGAAAGTCGAGATCAAAACTCCATGCAAAGTCTTGAAGCAAAACTGTATATGGGAGATAGTCTTTTTTGGGGGGGAAATTAAGTCGAATAAAATAATGCAGAAGATGGTAAGAAAACTATTAATGAATTGGGGGAAAAAATGAGAGCAAAAAAGTAGGAAGAATGAGGAATGACGGAGTTGGGATGATAGTGGGTGGTTTATTTGTGGGAAGTTAATTTGAGAGTGGTGGGTTACGTTATTGTGGGAAGTTTTTGTTTTGTGCTTATTAATCTTGAAATTTAGAAAAAGCACCCAAAAATATTTCAATAAAAAGGAAAAAAAATATAAATAAAACTGCCTAACTAAAAATCTAATAAAACAAAAAAAAATAAAAACTACCTAAACAGTAAGTGACAAAATTGCCCTTAGGTTTTATATAAGACTATTATGTATTTGCTGCCAGTTTTCTTTCTGGAAATATAATATATATATTGGAGTAGGACGAAAATTATTTTGAGCCTCCGTCTTTTTTGGGCCCATATATATAGCCATTATAAGTCCACTTTAATGAATAATTAGTTGGGTTGCTATTTTAAGCCCATATTATCTTGCAAAAATATTCAGCTTACGTTGTACTACTCTTAATTGATTTCACAACAAGCTCACTGAACCTGTATTATATATTTGATTTCTTAGTCCAAACCATTTCATACAATAGTATCAACTATTAATAGTTAAACATTTAAATATTTGTGTCCCTCAATTAATGTAAACGCCATGTATTATTATTTCTGATAATCTTGATTAATTATCATAGTAAAAGGTTGACATTATCATCACTTCAGCATTAGCAATTAGTTTCCAACTTGTAGTGTATGTGTTTAAATTGCTAATTCAAAACCAAATATTAATGAACTTAGACTGAATAATGCATGGATTCAATTCCTTCTTCATCTAAAGGATTGGGATATAGAATTATTACTTGTGTATTAGGACAATATGTTTTTTTATTTGAGGAACACAACATACATATATACGTAGAATAATATATATATTTTGGTTTATTAATTAAGTATTCTATTAACTTCCAAGGTAGCTTAAAAAAATTGATGAGTAGGACGAGATCACACTTGATATATAGGTGTACTAATAAATGTTAGAGATTGATGTGTCCAGATTCAATGAACCTCTGGGTCAGAATATGTCTAAGTTCAGTGAATATATATAATGTACTGATCGATCTTTCTCCTTGAGTATATTGTTGATGAAGCACATCGATCAGTGAATATAATGTATTCCGATCCGTGATGAAGCTAAGGTCAAACTAATTAATATTATATATGATATTAGTACGTTTTTCTCACTCTATGCTCTATACCTAGCTAAAATATTTAATTTGTCCATATATATATATATTATCCACATGCGTATGTTAATTTGAAATGCTGATCATCAGACGTTACTTTTACCTAGAAGATAACTAAAAATATATATTATAATTTGTTTTTATTTTATTTGTATTAAACTGGCTCTTGGACAACTCCAAAGGGCATCATGCACTTTCTTTTTTGCCCATATATATGTATGCGGTATGCATCAACCCCAATCTTCTTGCTAATAATCCTCAATTACCTGTACCTAATTAATTAATTATTAATAACAATGATCTCTTCCAAACTAGGAGGATTTTTGACTTTCTCTCTCATTTCATTTTGGTCTACCATTTACTAATTAATTATTGTCATATATATACATACACACTGTACTGTATACATATACGTGGTGCTGTCCATGTTTTACGTTTTGCCTTTTAATTAGCCACCACAATTGACAGCTGTTTTTCATTTTTAGCTTTATAATATATATTATTTTTTTTCATTACATGAATATTGTTTAAGGAAGTTTAATTTAGCTCTGCAGTCGGAAACCCTAATTTATAATACTTCAGTTCAGACAGACAAGTGACAACCCTACCTACGTACAGACGCCACCTCATTTTGAAGTTTTACGTACGTACGTATATAACCTAAATTATTTTATATCCAATATATATGTAGAGTATTTTCAATTCATAATTTATTCCCCACCAATTGGGTACCCTAATCAATTAAATAACTCCACAAGGCTAAGGATAACATAAACAAATAAATTAAAGTATAAGCATTTCACATCATGTTTAGTGCGTGAATTAAGTCGTTGATTTACTCAAACAAAAAAAAAAAAAAAAAAAAAAAAAAAAAAGAAGAAGTGCGTGAATAATAATATGTGTCCAGCTAGTATGCGGGGTTGTGTGGTGCGCTTTTT